GCGGTAACTACTGATGCAAAACATTTAACATATATTTCTTCCAACAAATATCGCAATTATTATTGTAAAACACAAACAGAGATATATTTAAATTGATATTTTGTTTCATTGAATCAATAAATAAAGTAAATTTATTTTCAATTTTTGCGTTTAAGTCAATATATTTTTCCATTACTATTAATATTTACAAACTATTATCTCTTACGTTGTAAAGTAAATGCTTATGAAATAAAATGCATAATTGGTCTTGATTGTAATTGATGTGAAAGTTTCCATTAGACTTGAAAAAATCAATTTAATTACTGTAGCGGTTGAAAATGATTTAGACATTTGTTGAAACAATTTTTAATGTCAATTAAATGCTTATGAATTGAGAGATAAAGTTGAGATTGAATTAGATTTTTGAGGCCAACCGTCAAGTGATGTGATGTTCATCAGCGAGAAGTCTACCAAAAAGTTTGTTCAATAACTGGCAGAAGCCTTGAAAACTAGTTTTTTGCTGTTGTCTTGTCGATTGAGTCGAGAATTAAGGGGAAAATGAAAATTGTTGTAACATTTTGAGTCAAAACAAAACAAATAATCATTTTTCTAATGGTGTTTATATGAAATCTATTAATGAATATTTGATTATTCCGAGCCTTACATGCATATAAATATTTGCGGTAACTACTGATGCAAAACATTTAACATATATTTCTTCCAACAAATATCGCAATTATTATTGTAAAACACAAACAGAGATATATTTAAATTGATATTTTGTTTCATTGAATCAATAAATAAAGTGAATTTATTTTGAATTTTTGCGTTTAAGTCAATATATTTTTCCATTACTATGAATATTTACAAACTATTATCTCTTACGTTGTAAAGTAAATGCTTATGAAATAAAATGCATAATTGGTCTTGATTGTAATCGATGTGAAAGTTTCCATTAGACTTGAAAAAATCAATTTAATTACTGTAGCGGTTGAAAATGATTTAGAAATTTGTTGAAACAATTTTTAATGTCAATTAAATGCTTATGAATTGAGAGATAAATTTGAGATTGAATTTGATTTTTGAGGCGAACCGTCAAGTGATGTGATGTTCATCAGCGAGAAGTCTACCAAAAAGTTTGTTCAATAACTGGCAGAAGCCTTGAAAACTAGTTTTTTGCTGTTGTCTTGTCGATTGAGTCGAGAATTAAGGGAAAATGAAAATTGTTGTAACATTTTGAGTCAAAACAAAACAAATAATCATTTTTCTAATGGTGTTTATATGAAATCTATTAATGAATATTTGATTATTCCGAGCCTTACATGCATATAAATATTGTTACATTGTTTAATATCATTAGCAATAAAAATGTGTGAATAATATTGCTACTAAAAATCTAAATATTTATTGAATTGATTAAGATTTCGGTTAAAATTTATTTTATTATTTGTTTTATACAATTTGTATATCATAGTGAAATTCATCCCTAAAAGTAATTTTACTTTTCATTACAAACTTATTTATTTTTTCTAATAGACGCCAGAATTTCAATTCAAGTTTATTGATATTAGATTATGTAAGTACCGGTATGAGTTACGTCTAATCAGTGGTGGTGTATATGATAATTGATACCATAGATTGTCTGCAATGGCATGAAATGGTTGTGTCATTATTGTGCACTTGATTTCTCAGAAATAGCTGTTTATTAGTGTTTATTTCACTTCGTTATCAGATATATATTTCCCGAGAAAATGATATATTTGTCGCAATATTTAATTAACTTAATTACTTATTGGCCATCGATTCTCATCGTCACATTAATTTCATTATATTTGTAAGTAGTTTATATCTCACTGTATAATTCAAGTGCATTATTATTAGATATTCCATATAATTATGCACAAAAATAAAGTTTTTTCATTAAACTAATTAATTTCACATTACTGCTAGTAGTACATGCTTCAATCAAATATATTATTAATAATTGCATTAAAAAGTTGCAATTAAATGTCAGAATCAATATTTATTAATGAAAGATATGTGAGATATTTTAAATGCAATAAATATCAGACTTTATAATGAATTCACTTTCTAATTGAGGCTTAAATTCTATTACCGGTAATGAAAAAGGTTTTTGAACTTTGATTTTTAATCGTTATATTTATTTATTATGTATTAAAAGTTATTCAACTCGTAATCACAAATACTGGAGCTCTCGTGGAGTGAAGGGTCCAAAGCCTGTGCCACTGGCGGGCAATCTGTATCAGGTGTTCCTGAAGCCCAGATGTGTTTATGGGTTACAAAACTATCAAAAGTTTGGCAAAATCTACGGGTCCGTACAGTTCACGCACACTATAGTCACACAAATTTCTATAATATTCGTAGGGTTTATGAATTCAAATTTAAATTTAATTTCTATAACCAGTTATTATGACGGAAACAAACCGGTGCTGAGTGTCGCCGAACCCGAACTCATTAGAGATATATTAGTGAAAGACTTCCATAAGTTTGTCGATAGGGTTAACCTATCGTTAGGTCATCCCATATTTGAGAGGTCTCTGCTGACCGCACGGGGAGATGTCTGGAAACAGATCCGAACCATTGTTAGTATAATTTCAAAGTTTGTTATATTAGACCAAATCTAAGTAGAAATAATTGCAAATAAAACCACTGATCACACCGTTAGGTGAGCCCAACCTTCTCGAGCGGCAAAATGAGAAAAATGCAAATTTTAATCAAAGAATGTGTCGAAAGATTGGATAAAGTGTTGGAAGAGTTTGCAAACAGTGATCGCAATGAGATTGACATTAAGAAAGTCTTCTCCAATTACACGATGGATGTGATCGCGTTGTGTGCCTTTGCCATCAAATTACAGTCACACACCGGCGCCGATGAGCACCAGTTCGTCACCATTGCCTCACAATTCTTCAGACCTTCCCTAAGGTTTGGCATGTTTTTCATACTCAACCTATTGGTGCCATCACTGGTCAAGAAATACGACATTTCCTTTGTTCCCAAACATTTCATCAATTACTTCAAATCAATAGTAAATATCATTTTATTCATACAGTGTGTCACTAAACTCATTGAAATTCTTAATCATTTAATTATAGTTACAAACGATTATCACTGAAAGGAAATCTCAGAAAGTGTCTAAAAATGTCGATTTCATGCAACTGTTACTCGACTCACACAACAAAACTGATCTCAAAGACATCGACGAAGACATTAGGATTGAAGTCCAAAGGATTGGCGAATCGATGAAAAAGAAAGGCTTTCAGTTGCAAGAGATGGACATTTTGGCGACAGCTCTGCTCTTTATTTTGGCCGGTTATGAGACAACGGCATCCACTCTCTCCTATCTGTTCCACGAGTTGGCACTGAATCCAGAATCGCAACAGAAGTTATTCGATGAGATCACTGGTTATGGACCTAATGTTGACTACGAGACCATCGAGAAGATGCCGTATTTAGAGGCATGTATTTCAGAGACACTCCGACTCTACTCACCACTCGTTATGTCACAACGAATTGCGTCCGAAGACTACGATTTGGGTACTGAAAGGATGTGACAATAGATTGCCATTTGATAACTGAATATATTTCTGAACAGGAGATACAGGGCTAGTGATACACAAGGGAATGGCAGTTCACATCCCGCTGTACGCCATACACCACGACCCGCACTACTATCCCAACCCCAATGAGTTCATTGCGGAGCGTTTTCTACCGGCGAATAAGTCTCGACTCATACCATACACATACCTACCCTTCGGAACGGGTCCTCGAAATTGTGTGGGAATGCGGTTCGCAATGATCAACATGAAGACCGCTGTCCATCAGATTGTATCCAAATATAAGTTCACACAAACGCCAAACACTAAGACCGAGTTTACGTACAAAAAGTTTGTTGTATTCACTCAGGCTTTAGATATGGGAACCATTAGAGTGGAAGTCAGACAATAGTTTTATAATTGTATAATAAAATCAAATTCATTATAGTTTTACACTTTTTGAAGAATATTTTAATAAAAATTAATATAAAACTATTAGAAATTATTTTAATTTAAATTCCACTTAATAATAATATGTTCTAGATAAAAATATTCATAGATAATATTACACGTATAAATGATAAAAATTACTTTTTATTAATCTCTAAAAATATTATGAATTATCCATGGATAGTTTATATTTGTGGAAAATATGTTTTATAAGTGCATAGCTTGTAGCATAAATACCCGGACAAGTGGACTCTCGAGGGCCGGCAATGTTTACTATTTTAGGCTTATGAGTGGACAGCCATTCCACGCATTCCTCTACTAGCGATTCATTGATTTGATCGCAAACTTTGATTATAAGGTAAGGTTTGGAAAGTCGTGTCAACTCTTGTACCGTAAGTTTGGTGCCATCGCTGATGGCATTCACTTCACTGCCATTAGGGACGAGAATTAGTGTGACCTCTGAGTCACGGATATTAAACAAAGTCCGGTCTTCATAGCAATCACTGGCAGTCTCTTTGAGATCATATGAATCACTGATCACTCCATCCTCTGCTCGTCTTCCTCTCGGACACCAACCCGAGTGCTCTATCTTTAAATGTATGGCCACATCGAGGGCAGCCCTGTCCACACCTGTCTGTCCACCAGAAACTATACGCACAGACATTATTTGTATTTGTGCTGTACTGTACAGGGCATTTAAATATATAGTTTTAGTATTTAAATGAGAATAAAGTTTGTTTGTATAATTACTAATTGCATATAAATAACTAATCTAATCAGTCTGGAGTAAAAGTCATTTGATAATTCCTGAATATTTGATTGTATTTATGAACAAATTGTATGTAAAGAATTGAAATCAAAATACATTTTACACTTACAAGTAGTTTAATTCACTACAAACAAGAACCAATTTGTTTGCAAAAATGATATTCTCGACATTATTTAGTTTTAATTCATTTTATATATTCACCGCTGGTTTAATAGCATTGTATTTGTAAGTATTATTTCATTTATTATAATATCTTACTCTTAAGTATACTTTATAATAAATGTCATCAAACAAGAATCTCTATCTCTAAATATTATTTAATATAAAAACTATTTACTAATAAAAATGTTGTGTGAATGTCAATTATTTTATTTCTATTTGAATCATATAGTTATTTGACTCGGAATTTCAAATATTGGTCATCCCGTGGCATACCTGGTCCCACACCACTGCCCATCTTTGGTACTCTATGGCAACTGTTCTTAAGACCTTTTCCTGAGGGTATTGTATATAATGGCCAAAAATATGGAAGAATATACGGGTAATGCATTGTTTTGCGTTATTTATTATAAATTAAATACAAAGTAACTTAATTTAATGTATTCCCTAAACTAATAGAACATACTTGGGTTCGAGACCAAGCCTTACAATAAATGACCCTCAATTGATAAAAGACATGAATATTAGAGATTTTCATGTATTTTTCGATCACAACGATTTTAAAACCGGAGATCCACTAAACGACAGATCGCTGTTTAATCTAACCGGAGAGGAATGGAAGAAAATGCGATCAATTGTTTGTTCACTATAATATAGATTTATTTAATTTTTATTAATAACAATCTATTTAATGAATAGATAAGTCCGACCTTCTCAAGTGGCAAAATGCGAGCAATGCATCCCATTATCATTGATTGCGTGAAGAGATTAGAGAAATATTTGGAGCAGAAGTCGAGGAATGGAGAGGACGTCGAGATGAAGAAAGCGATGGGGAATCTGACGATGGATGTGATCGCTTCGTGTGCTTTCGGCACTAAAATAGACACTCATAACGACCCCAACAATGAGTTTGTAGTGAATGCACAGAAAGTATTTCGAGGGAATTGGAGGCTTTGGGTCTTCTTTCTGCTGTTCAACACTTTCCCTAAAATCCTTGAGTGGACAGGATTTGAGACAACCGACCCGAGTGTTAAGAAATTCTTCTCTATAGCCGTTAGTATTATATTTTTAAAATGTTTTAATCAATTGTTAATATAATATATTTTCAGATTAAGTCAATCGTGGAAAGGCGTAAATCGGAGAAAACCAAACAAAGAGATTACATAAACCTTATGATTAACGCACAAAACAAGAAACAAGACACCGATGAAGCAGATGTGGACGACTTGAATGAAGAGATTTTTGGAAAAGTCGATTCGGCGGACACTTTGAAATATAATAAACAGAAGACAGAGATAACAGACACCGATATATTGGCCACAAGTTTTGTGTTCTTTGTGGCCGGATATGAGACGACTGCCTCTCTCTTAACGTTTATGTCCTACAGATTAGCTTTGGATCAAAAGTGTCAGCAAAAGCTATACGAAGAAGTGAGTCGTTTCGCCGGGAAGTATGATTACGAGAGTATCTCGAAAATGCCATATTTGGAGGCATGTGTTGCCGAAACCCTGAGAATCTATAATCCCGTCGCAGCTATCGGTAGAATTGCTAACGAAGACTATACTATAGGTTTGGTTTTATAGATAAATATCAGTCTTAAAAAATTAATATTTATTGATATATAGGCGATACCGGACTAACAATTCCGAAGGGGATGATGGTTAACTTTGATATGCAAACCCTACACCACAGCCCTAAGTATTACCCAAACCCTGATCGTTGGGATCCGGAGAGGTTTATGCCCGAGAATAAGGACCAATTGGTTCCATACACTTATATGCCGTTCGGAATGGGACCCCGAAATTGTGTGGGAATGAGGTTCGCCTTAATGGAGGCCAAGACAGCGATAGCCCATTTGATTAATAAATTCAAATTCGTGAGAACACCCAATACTACAGTTCCTCTAAAATTAAAGAAAATTGAGTTTTTGTTAACAACAGGAGATGTGAACGTAGGCATCGAATTAAGACAATAATATTATAAATTAATATGTATTTTATTAATGTCAATTGCTATTAGACAAAATTATTTTGATTAAAATAATGATCCGATAAATTAAGCCCTGTCCACACCTGTCTGTCCACCAGAAACTATACGCACAGACATTATTTGTATTTGTGCTATACAGGGTATTTAAATGTATAGATTTAGTATTTAAATGAGAATAAAGTTTGTTTGTATAATTACTCAAATTATCTAATTTAATACATTTTGTAGTAAATAATTTATTTTAACTTATATAATAAGGCTAATAACTTTTCGAAATATTTAAATAACAAAAGGATGCAATCATTGCATAACTGCACAAATAAATTCACATTAACTGCAAAATCAGTTAAAATGTGTCTTTCAATGAAATATTGTTAATGATTTGTTTGTATGAAAAATCAAACCTAAAGTACTAAACTCAATGGTAATGCAGTTCACAATATAGTGAAATACAGGTATATTGTTTTATTGAGCTATTCGTGAAAAGTATTTACTGATGATAGCTTAACAGAATTTGATAAGATTATTGATTACATTCTTGAATAATTATAATACCTTTAACAAGGATAGAAATTATAGTTTTTGCAAAGGTTTGACAACTTATTTCATCATTTATTCAGTTGTGCGCAAAGTATTGACTATAATATTTGATGCAAACTTTATTGTGAGCCGAGACACTTTGGCCTTCAATTGTAATTCACGTATTTAAGTGATGTTATTGTTTGAGAGTTTAATATAGATTTTATACAGTAGTATAGAAATTATTTTTTTATATACTGCATATAAACAACTAATCTAATCAGTCGGGAGTAAAAGTTATTTGATAATTCCTGAATATTTGATTGTATTTATGAACAAATTGTATATAATGAATTGAAATCAAAATACATTTTACACTTACAAGTAGTTTAATTTACTACAAACAAGAACCAAATTGTTTGCAAAAATGATATTCTCGACATTATTTAGTTTTAATTCATTTTATATATTCACCGCTGGTTTGATAGCATTGTATTTGTAAGTATTATTTAATTTATTATTTATTATATGTAAGTATACTTTATAATAAATGTCATCAAACAACAAATTTCTATATCTAAATATTATTTAATATAAAAATAAGTTACTAATAAAAATTTTGTGTGAATGTCAATTATTTGATTCATATTTTAATCATATAGTTATTTGACTCGGAATTTCAAATATTGGTCATCCCGTGGCATCCCTGGCCCCACACCACTTCCCATCTTTGGTACTCTATGGCAACTGTTCTTAAGGCCTTTTCCTGAGGGTGTTGTATATAATGGCCAAAAATATGGAAGAATATACGGGTAAATGCATTGTTTTGTGCTATTTATTATCAAATAAGTACAAAGTAACTTAATTTAATGTATTCCCTAAACTAATAGGACATACTTGAGTTCGAGACCAATGCTTGTAATAAATGACCCTCAATTGATAAAAGACATGAATATTAGAGATTTTCATGTATTTTTCGATCACAACGATTTTAAAACCGGAGATCCATTTAGCGATAGATCACTGTTTAATCTAACCGGAGAGGACTGGAAGAAAATGCGATCAATTGTTCGTTGACTATAATATAAAATTATTTGATTTTTATTAATTAACAGTATATATAATGAATAGATAAGTCCGACCTTTTCAAGTGGCAAAATGCGAGCAATGCATCCCATTATCATTGATTGCGTGAAGAGATTAGAGAAATATTTGGAGCAGAAGTCGAAGAATGGAGAGGACGTGGAGATGAAGAAAGCGATGGGGAATCTGACGATGGATGTGATCGCTTCGTGTGCTTTCGGCACTAAAATAGACACTCATAACGACCCCAACAATGAGTTTGTAGTGAATGCACAGAAAGTATTTCGAGGGAATTGGAGGATTTGGGTCTTCTTTATACTAAACAGTACTTTCCCTAAACTAATCAAATGGACCGGATTTCAGATCCAAGATCCGAGTGCCAAGAAATTCTTTTCCACAGCCGTTAGTATTATATTAAATAAATATTTATATATAATATTAGTTTATGTAATTGTTAATATAATATAATTTCAGATTAAGTCAATCGTGGAAAGGCGTAAATCGGAGAAAACCAAACAAAGAGATTACATAAATCTTATGATTAACGCACAAAACAAGAAACAAGACATCGATGAAGCAGATGTCGATGACTTGAATGAAGAGATCTTTGGAAAAGTCGATTCGGCGGACGCTTTGAAATATAATAAACAGAAGACAGAGATAACAGATGAAGACATATTGGCCACAAGTTTTCTATTCTTTGTGGCCGGATATGAAACCACTGCTTCTCTTCTGACGTATATGTCCTACAGATTAGCTTTGGATCAAAAATGTCAACAAAAACTATACGAAGAAGTGAGTCGTTTCGACGGGAAGTATGATTACGAGAGTATCTCCAAAATGCCATATTTGGAGGCATGTGTTGCCGAAACCCTGAGAATCTATAATCCCGTCGCAGCTATCGGTAGAATTGCTAACGAAGACTATACTATAGGTTTGTTTTATAGTTAAATAGCAGTTATAAAAAATTATTAATATTTATCGATATACAGGCGATACCGGACTAACAATTCCGAAGGGAATGATGGTTAACTTTGATATGCAAACCCTACACCACAGCCCTAAGTATTACCCAAACCCTGATCGTTGGGATCCGGAGAGGTTTATGCCGGAGAATAGGGACCAATTGGTTCCATACACTTATATGCCGTTCGGAATGGGACCCCGAAATTGTGTGGGAATGAGGTTCGCCTTAATGGAGGCCAAGACAGCGNATGCCGTTCGGAATGGGACCCCGAAATTGTGTGGGAATGAGGTTCGCCTTAATGGAGGCCAAGACAGCGATAGCCCATTTGATTAATAAATTCAAATTCGTGAGAACACCCAATACTACAGTTCCTCTTGAAATAAAGAAGTTTGAAGTTCTGTTGACAACAGGAAATGTTAACATTGGAATTGAATTAAGACAATAATACTAATGTTTAAATATTTTCTTATATTTATATCTTCTAAATATTTATTATATCCAAGTATTTTGTATTTAAATATGTAGTTTTATCTAGAACAGTTTTATCCACTTGTTTTTGGTCAATACAAACTATAAACGTTGACTATATTAAGGTTAACTATCAAAGTATAAAGAGTTTAGCAGAAATAAAAGTGACTTTCTTTTCAAACGCATTTTTAAATATTTTATTTTATTTTTTAATTTACAATTTAATTACATTTAGAAAGAATAAAATCAAAGTAAAAATTGCATAATTAATATAGATTTCTATCGAATAATATGCCCTTGAATATTTATCGTCAAACTTATCGTTAGTAATTTGTTTATGAAAAATAACCTTAATGCACTTATGAAAATAACACTAATGTACTTAAATTGTGGTTCAGTATACTTTTAATATAGTTTTCATGGTAATTTCATCAGTAACAGTACAATTGAATTTATTAATAGAGATTTGTATTCACTAGGGTAGATTCCCATACATTGGATGTATAATACATGTGTATTATTCTATGTATTATACATATAGAATACATGAGCACATTTACCATACATACATGAAATCCCGCCCCTATTAAGGAAACTTCAATTGTAATTCACATATATAAGTGATGTTTTTATTTGAAACTTTCACAATACAATATGATTTATTTTTATACATAGCACACCTTGTTATCTAATCATTTTGGTGTAAAATTATTTGATTAATAGATTATATGCCAACAAATATAGTATATAAAGAAATTAAAGTCTTATTAGTTAAATTCAGTGTTTGTGAATTGGCAGTTATAAATTGCTACTTATAAAAAGTCTTGTGTTTTTGTAAAAATGTTTTTCTCCACTTTGTTTGATCTAAATTCGCTTTTTCTATTCACTATTGGTATAGTGGCTTTGTATTTGTAAGCATTATTATATTTCATAACCAAATTTTAAGAATATCCTGTAAAATGTAAAATTTTTATTCGTATAGCTATTTGACTCGGAATTACAAATATTGGTCATCCCGTGGCATACCTGGCCCCACACCACTCCCATTTTTTGGAACTCTTTGGGAGATATTCGTGAGACCAGTTCACGAGAATGTTCTGAATAATAGCAACAAATATGGAAGAATATACGGGTAATTCAATAATTTGTTCTAGCACTATTTAATATAAAGTTTACTCTTTTAGAATGCTAATTATATTTAATTTTTAAATATAAAACTACTGTATTATTTAAAAACTATAGGACATACCTGGGTTCTCGCCCGATACTTATGATAAATGATCCCGAACTGATAAAAGACATGAATATTAGAGATTTTCATCACTTTGTCGATCACGACGATTTTAAAACTGGGGATCCGTTTAACGACAGATCACTGTTTAATTTAACCGGAGAGGACTGGAAGAATATGCGATCAATTGTTCGTTGACTATAATATAAATTTATTTGATTTTTATGAATTAACATTATATTGAATAAATAGATTAGTCCGACCTTCTCGAGTGGCAAAATGCGAGCAATGCATCCCATTATCATTGATTGTGTGAAGAGATTAGAGAAATATTTGGAGCAGAAGTCGAGGAATGGAGAGAACGTCGAGATGAAGAAAGCGATGGGGAATCTAACGATGGATGTGATCGCTTCGTGTGCTTTCGGCACTAAAATAGACACTCATAACGACCCCAACAATGAGTTTGTAGTGAATGCACAGAAAGTATTTCGAGGAAATTGGAGGATTTGGGTCTTCTTTCTGCTGTTCAACACTTTCCCTAAAATCCTTGAGTGGACAGGATTTGAGGCAACGGACCCGAGTGTTAAGAAATTCTTCTCTACAGCCGTTAGTATTATATTTTTTAATGTTTAAATCAATTGTTAATATAATATATATTCAGATTAAGTCAATTGTGGAAAGGCGTAAATCGGAGAAAACCAAACACAGAGATTACTTACAGCTTATGATTAACGCACAAAACAAGAAACAGGATATCGATGAACCAGAAGTCGATGACTTGAATGAAGAGATTTTTGGAAAAGTCGATTCAGCGGACGCTTTGAAATATAATAAACAAAAGACAGAGATAACAGACACCGATATATTGGCCACAAGTTTTGTATTCTTTGTGGCCGGATATGAGACGACTGCCTCTCTCTTAACGTTTATGTCCTACAGATTAGCTTTGGATCAAAAGTGTCAGCAAAAGCTATACGAAGAAGTGAGTCGTTTTGACGGGAAGTATGATTACGAGAGTATCTCCAAAATGCCATATTTGGAGGCATGTGTTGCCGAAACCCTGAGAATCTATAATCCCGTTTCAGCCGTCGGTAGAATTGCTAACGAAGACTATACGATTGGTTTGTTTAAATAATTGCTATATATATAATTGTAATTAATATTTATCTAATTATATTGTAGGCGATACAGGACTGAAGATCCCGAAGGGAATGCTCGTTAACTTTGACATTCAAAGCCTTCATCACAGCCCTAAGTATTACCCAAACCCTGATCGTTGGGATCCGGAGAGGTTTATGCCCGAGAATACGGACCAATTGGTTCCATACACTTATATGCCGTTCGGGACGGGACCCCGAAATTGTGTGGGAATGAGGTTTGCCTTAATGGAGGCCAAGACAGCGATAGCCCATTTGATTAATAAATTCAAATTCGTGAGAACACCCAATACTACAGTTCCTCTTAAATTTAAGAAAATGGAGTTTCTTTTAACAACAGGAGATGTTAACGTAGGCATCGAATTAAGACAATAATATTATAAATTCATATATATTTTATTAATGTCAATTGCTATTAGATAAAATTATTTTTATTAAAATAATGATCCGATAAATTAATTCATTATCTAATAATAAATAACATTGGAATTGAATTAAGAAAATAATACTAATGTTTAAATATTGTTATATTTATTATATCCAAGTATTTTGTATTTAAAGATGTAGTTATATCTAGGACAGTTTTGTCCACCTATTTTTGTTTAATACAAACCATAAACGTTCACTATATTAATGTTAATTATCAAAGTATAATTAACAGAAATAAAAGTGACTTTCTTATTAAACGAAATTTTTAAATAAATTATTTTATTTTTTTATTTAAATTTTAATTACAGTTAGAAAGAATAAAATAAAAGTAAAAATTGCATAATTAATATGCCCTTGAATATTTATCGTCAAACTTATCGTTAGCCATTTGTTTATGAAAAATAACCCTAATGTACTTAAATTGCGGTTCAGTATACATTTAATATATTTTTTTGTATTGATTTTTATAAGTTATTCATCAAAAGTATTTATTCATTACTATTAAAACTTGAATAGCAAGAATTTATAACATTTCAAGAATAAGCCATTCAATTACAAATAAACAAGTACCAGTAATAAACTTAAGATATTTCCAAAAGTTTGATGGTAAGTTCATCAGTAACAGTACATTCAATTTATTTATAGAGATGTGTATTCACCTAATTAAATATGATGTCCTTTACAATATCTTTATAAATTATAATACTGTACATAAATATAACCATTTTTGAGCTCTTCATTTGTATTAAACAAAATCTTTTTAACAAATCAATGAAAATCTAGAAGTCGTATACAATATGTGTTATGCAAACAAAGCTATAATTGAGTGCAAATTAGTGGCCGATCTTATAATATACAACACTTTGAGCCCACTTTAGGGTCCTGTGAGGAGACGTTCACTCTGTCGGCGCTATCCGATGTGTTCTGACCCGCCGTTTGCTTATGGAGTATGGCTTCGGCTAATTCGAGGAAAGCTCGGTCTATATTGATGTCTGCCTTCGCACTCGTCTCTAAGAACCTAATGTTGTGATCCCTGGCGAAGGTCTCGCCCCTCTCTCTGGTGACCATCCGTTTGTCATTCATATCGCATTTATTTCCTAAAATTATTTTCTCCACGTCTTTGTCGATATGTCGCAGCCATTGGGCGATATTATCAAAGCTCTTGGCGTTTGTGATGTCGTAGACTAACATTATACCCATCGCTCCCCTGTAATAGCTGGAGGTTATTGGATGGAACCTCTCCTGTCCGGCCGTATCCCAAATCTGAAGTTTAATCCGTTTTCCTCTCAATTCAATGGTTTTAATCTTGAAGTCAATACCTATCGTTGATTTGAATGTGGTGTTGAAGGCGTCGTCGCAGAACTTGAAGAGTATATCATGCTTTCCCACTCCCGAGTCGCCTATTAATAAGAGCTTAAACAACAAGTCGTAAGTCTTTTTAGCCATCGATGAGTCTTAGAATATCAATGGGCGGATCAAATAGACGTCAGTACAGTATTGACACCATTAACATGACACTTTTTACTCTAGTTATGTTGTGGATACGTAGTATTAATATGTATTACATACTGTACCTGTAGTTGTTTGCAAAATATGATGCAAACTTAATTGTGATCCGAGTAACTTTGGCCTTCAATTGTAATTCACGTATTTAAGTGATGTTTTTATTTGAAACTTTCATAATACAATTTGATTTATTTTTATACATCGCACACCTTGTTATCTAATCATTTTGGTGTAAAATTATTTGATTAATAGATTGTATCCCAAGAAATATAGTATATAAAGAAATTAAAGTCTTATAAATTATATTCAGTGTTTGTGAATTGGCAGTTATCAATTGCTACTTATAAAAAGTCTTGTTTTTGTAAAAATGTTTTTCTCCACTTTATTTAGTCTAAATTCACTTTTTCTATTCACTGCTGGTATAGTGGCTTTGTATTTGTAAGCATTATTATATTTTATAACCAAATTTTAAGAATATCCTGTAAAATATAAAATTTTTATTCGTATAGCTATTTGACTCGGAATTACAAATATTGGTCATCCCGTGGCATACCTGGCCCCACACCACTCCCCTTCTTTGGAACACTTTGGGAGATATTCGTGAGACCAATACAAGAGAATATTCTGTATAATAGCAACAAATATGGAAGAATATACGGGTAATTCAATAATTTGTTCTAGCAATATCTAATATAAGTTTACTCTTTTAGAATTCTAATTATATTTAATTTTTAAATATGAAACTATTGTATTATTTAAATACTATAGGGAATACCTGGGTACTCGCCCGATCCTCACGATAAATGATCCCGAATTGATAAAAGACATGAATATTAGAGATTTTCATCTCTTTGTCGATCACAACGATTTTAAAACTGGGGATCCGTTTCAGGACAGATCACTGTTTAATCTAATGGGAGACGAATGGAAGAAAATGCGATCAATTGTTCGTGACTTTCGTGATTAGGTTTTAATTATTAAACAATATATTTAATACATAGATTAGCCCGACCTTCTCAAGTGGCAAAATGCGAGCAATGCATCCCATTATCATTGATTGCGTGAAGAGATTAGAGAAATATTTGGATCAGAAGTCGAGGAATGGAGAGGACGTGGAGATGAAGAAAGCGATGGGGAATCTGACGATGGATGTGATCGCTTCGTGTGCTTTCGGCACTAAAATAGATACTCATAACGACCCCAACAATGAGTTTGTAGTGAATGCACAGAAAGTATTTCGAGGGAATTGGAGGATTTGGGTCTTCTTTCTGCTGTACACCACTTTCCCTAAAATCCTTGAGTGGACAGGATTTGAACAAACAGACCCGAGTGTTAAGAAATTCTTCTCTACAGCCGTTAGTATTATATTTTTTAATGTTTTAATCAATTGTTAATATAATATATATTCAGATTAAGTCAATCGTCGAAAGGCGTAAATCGGAGAAAACCAAACACAGAGATTACATACAGCTTATGATTAACGCACAAAACAAGAAACAGGATATCGATGAACCAGAAGTGGATGACTTGAATGAAGAGATCTTCGGAAAAGTCGATTCAACGGTTTTGAAGAATAAATTGAAAGGCGATATAACAGACGCCGACATATTGGCCACAAGTTTTCTATTCTTTGTGGCCGGATATGAGACGACTGCCTCTCTTCTGACGTATATGTCCTACAGATTAGCTTTGGATCAAAAGTGTCAGCAAAAGCTATACGAAGAAGTGAGTCGTTTCGACGGGAAGTATGATTACGAGAGTATCTCCAAAATGCCATATTTGGAGGCATGTGTTGCCGAAACCCTGAGAATCTATAATCCCGTTTCAGCCATCGGTAGAATTGCTAACGAAGACTATACTATAGGTTTGTTTAAATAATTGCTATATATATAACTTATAAATGTAATTAATATATATCTAATTATATTGTAGGCGATACAGGATGGAAGATCCCGAAGGGAATGCTCGTCAACTTTGACATTCAAAGCCTTCATCACAGCCCTAAGTATTACCCAAACCCTGATCGTTGGGATCCGGAGAGGTTTATGCCTCAGAATAAGGACCAATTGGTTCCATACACTTATATGCCGTTCGGAATGGGACCCCGAAATTGTGTGGGAATGAGGTTTGCCTTAATGGAGGCCAAGACAGCGATAGCCTATTTGGTTAATAAATTCAAATTCGTGAGAACACCCAATACTACAGTTCCTCTTAAATTTAAGAAAATGGAGTTTCTGTTAACAACAGGAGATGTTAACGTAGGCATCGAATTAAGACAATAATATTATAAATTAATATGTATTTTATTAATTTTATTAATGTCAATTAGATAAAATTATTTCTATTAAAATAATGACCCAATAAATTAATTCATTATCTAATAATAAATTTTTGATATAAAATATTATTTCATTGTTTTCACCTGATCAATCTGGTAGCGTCTAGTTAAGTGGTTTTATATACTTATATACTTCTCTATACTTTATTATAATCATACTTTGATTTAATTCAAAGTCTAATTTTGAAATCTTGTAGTACCTAGTATCATTTCTACTATATCTAAAGTGTAAACAAAATTATTAAGATAGTCTTTATAATTATTTATTGTGTAATATAATATTATTAGAAATATTTAATTACATATAAAAATTATATTAAAATATTTTACTTAAATTTCTAACCAAAATTATTAATGTATAAATAAATATCAATGAATTGTTTACTAAATTTTAATCAATCAAAAAATAATTATTGTTTAGTAACTTAATACTTAGTACAATAAATAATTTTGATGTTTTATTTATTAGCTAATGAACATTAAAATTTAATTGTATTCTGATAATGATAAGATGACTTTCAAAATTTGAACATAATAATTTAATTATTCAAATATTATTTAGACTATTGCGAGAATATCATAAATCAATATAATTATCTGTTATTTATAGTATAAAAGTTATTTCTATTGAAAACAAAAGTCATTGAGGTTATTGTGACCCTAATGTACTAAACGAAAACAAATATAAACATCAAAGTAAATATTTTGAATCATATTCTAATTTATATATCATAAATAATGATAAAAATTAATAAAATACAATACAGTATGACATTTTGTGAAAATATTTCATCAGTTGTTTTTCATTAAATTATAATAATTTATAACCTAGTTACTTCATAAGCATTAAAGTTGTCTGAAATTTTGCCGATTATTTCATTTAAGTTGAATAATATTCTGTCCTTGAATTCTAGCCATTTATACTACTCTAGGATACAGCATATAAATAAGTTTTTGTTCATATACAGTATTCAATCAAAATGATTGGATAACAACTTATAAACAATCACTTGATTGTTTGCTTGATTATCCTTGGTATATAAATACAATCATTCAGTTAATATTAAAGTGAAATAATTTTTACTCCTTAATTGCTTCACATACAACAAGTTCAAAATGATTTTAGCAAGCTTATTTGGATTAAATTCGTTGATTGTGCTAATAACAACTTTGGTCATACTTTATTTGTAAGTTTCAATTAAAATGAAACTTTATAAGAAAATTACTATTTGATTGTAATGTTTGTCATTTTCAAACCAGTTATTTGACTCGAAATTTCAAGTTTTGGAGTTCCCGTGGAATCGATGGCCCAAAACCAGTACCACTTTTGGGTACATTATGGCAAATATGGTTGAAGCCATTGGCAGAGCTTAACATGGACAACTATAAAAGATATGGAAAAATATATGGGTTTGTAGATAAACAAATTAATAACAAATAATATATTAATTAACAAATTAATACATTTTAAATAATCCAGCACATTTCTTGGCGATCGACCCGTTCTAGTGGTGGCCGACCCCGAGTTCGTCAAAGAGATGAATATAAAAGATTTTCATGTATTTGTCGACCGCAATGACTTCGTGACCGGAGATCCACTTAACGACAGATCACTGTTTAATCTGTTGGGAGACGAGTGGAAGAATATGCGATCAGTGGTCAGTCTATTTATAAACATTATTTCAAATATTATTTTAAATGTTTAATAATAAAACTAAATTAACATTTTGATGAACATTTCACAGATAAGTCCGACCTTCTCGAGTGGCAAAATGCGAGCAATGCATCCCATTATCATTGATTGTGTGAAGAGATTAGAGGAGTATTTGGAGAAAAAGGCCGCAAATAAAGAAGAGTTAGAAATGAAGAAAATAATGGGAAACCTGACGATGGATGTGATCGCTTCGTGCGCTTTCGGCACTAAAATAGACACTCATAACGACCAAAAGAGAAATGAATTCATAGTAAACGCACAGAAAGTGTTTCGCGGAAATTGGAGGGTTTGGCTATTCTTTATCGGTGTAACCAGTTTCCCTAAATTGGTCAAATGGGCTGGATTCCAACTAACTGACCCGGGTGTTCAAGGATTCTTTATGTCAGCGGTTAGTAAACAAAATTTTAATATATATTTTATACTTAAGAAAATTTGTAAATAAATGCAGATTAAGTCAATTATGGATAGACGGAAGTCAGAGAAAACCAAACACAGAGATTACATACAACTCATGATTAACGCACAGAACAAGAGTGTGGAGACTGATGAACAAGAAGTGGATGACTTGAATGAAGAGATCTTCGGAAAGACTGATCCGACAGAAGCCTTGAAATTAACAAATAAGACTAAAATGGATGTGACAGACATCGACATTCTGGCCACGAGTTTCATATTCTTTGTGGCCGGGTATGAGACAACGGCGACACTCCTATCGTTTTTGTTTTACAATTTGGCGATCAGTGAGAAATGTCAACAAAAATTATACGAAGAGATTAAATCATTTGACGGCAACTTTGAATACGAGAGTATCTCCAAAATGCCATATTTGGAGGCATGTGTTGCCGAAACACTCAGACTTTATAATCCAATTTCAGCCGTTGGTAGACAAGCGTCAGAGGAATACACTATTGGTTTGTATTATTATTCACAATAATCCATAGAAAGTATACACGTTATGATCAATTTCATTAATATTTTAGGTGATACGGGTATAACCATTCCGAAGGGAACGCTTGTCAACTTTGACGTCCAGGTTCTCCACCACAGCCCTGAATACTACCCAAATCCTGAGGTTTGGGATCCGGAGAGGTTTATGCCTGAAAATCGTGACCAATTGGTTCCATACACTTATATGCCGTTCGGAATGGGGCCCAGAAATTGTGTGGGAATGAGGTTCGCCTTAATGGAGGCCAAGACAGCCGTCGCTTATTTGGTCACTAAATTCAGAATTAAGCGAACCATCAATACTACAGTTCCGCCAAAAATTAAAAAGTTTGAATTTCTGTTAACTACCGGTGATATCAACGTTGCATTTGAGCTCAGAAAATAACATAATATTCAAAATTCGTTGTCAAATGTAATCTTCTTTCACTATTTGACTAATACTTCACTTATATTTGTAATTCTTTGTACGCAATTTTATAAACTTATTCATGGGAAGCATTAATAAATTCAATTAACATACACATAATGTAGAAATTGATTTATTTTATTAGACATTAAAAGTGAAATTTTAGTAAAACTCCACTGTTTAAAAAAAATTTTACAATACAATCTCTTACTTCTCCATCACTCTATTATTTTATTAAATATATTGTTTGTGGATAAGGATAACCTATTTGAAGGTTATGTTAATTACAATTCAAATGGATTTGTGTTGCTTTTTATTGGTTTGTATTTTTCAATGTCAGGCAATGTTTATAACACTCGCGATTAAAAAGAGTGAAATGATTGCTTAATTGCTATCAATTGTATATAACAACAGATAATTATAATCGCGACGATGAGTGAGATGTAACCCTAAAGTACTGAATGTATTTGGAAATGCATTAAATCACACATAGTTGTTGATATATTTACAAACTCTTAAGCTATTTATCGAAATTTAAAAATTTCAGGAAGATAAATTTACAGAAGTTACATTTAATACGGTCTATCGCATTTTCCAATTATTAGGAAATTACAGTAATGTGTTAAATACATGTACTTTTATCCAAGAGTGATGTTTATACAATAATAATATTTAGTGCGATGAATAAATTTTGATAACAAAAAATACAATTGTTGTCTAGACCTTGAATTTTAATTTGTGATAAATTGCTTTTTAAGAGCTAGCAGTTTGTCATTCAATATGATTAAAAACTATATATAAACGAAAAATTAATAATATTTGGTATCAAACAAAGTTAGACTTCTAAACTTTTAGGCAGTCAGTCTAAAATTGCCTTGTACGGTATTCTTAATGTTATATTAACTTTGAATAAATTAATCCAATTAATTTAAAAATGTTTTTCGACTTACAAACATTGGTATTAGTCAGTGCGTTTTTGGTGTTAATTTATTAGTGAGTAATTTTGCAATTTAATAAAAATTTTCTAATTTTATCAAACTAATTTCAATTTACATAAAACAACTAATGCTTATTTAAATTTAAATTTTTATTAATAGTTATTTAACCAAAAATTTCAACTTCTGGAGCTCTCGTGGAGTGAATGGCCCGAAACCTGTGGTGCTTTTTGGCACATTTTATCAAAACTTTTTCAAGTCGATGCAAGATGTTGCCCTGGACAATAGTCGCAAATATGGAAAGATATATGGGTTTGAAAACTTGAACTTATTTCAAAAATTAATTTATATTAATTTTAAAATTGTTATTCATGTTTAGCGGCTTTTTTGGTTCAAAACCATTTCTATTCATATCAGACCCACAACTCATAAAAGAGATGAATATCAGAGACTTCCATATATTCACGGATAGGGATGATTTCGTGACCGGGGATCAACTAAACGACAGGTCATTATTTAGTTTGAAAGGAGACGAGTGGAAGGGTATGCGATCCATTGTGAGTTCATTTTAAACACAGTAATTTATATATTAATAACTAAACAAAATGTAATGTCAATAGATTAGTCCAACCTTTTCGAGTGGGAAAATGCGATCAATGCATCCCATTGTCATCGACTGTGTCAAGCGGTTGGAGACACATTTGGAGGCATACCTACNAATGCATCCCATTGTCATCGACTGTGTCAAGCGGTTGGAGACACATTTGGAGGCATACCTACAAAAAGGCAGTCATGAGATTGAGCTCAAGAAGAATATGTCAAACCTAACGATGGATGTGATAGCTCTGTGCGCCTTCGGCACCAAAATAGACACTTACGGCGAGAAAAGGAGTGATTTCTTGACGTACGCTCAGAAGATAGTGAATCCGTCGGCCAGGATGTGGATCCTATTCCTCATAGTCGTACAGTTCCCGAATTTTCTCAAGTGGACAGGGCTATCACTAATGGACCCTGGTGCTTCCAGGTTCTTTCGAGCAGCTGTTAGTAATTCTAAAAATTTTTAATTTATTTACGGTAATAACTAATAACTGATCCAGGTGCGATCAATTATATCGAGACGTCAAGCAGACAAAGTGAAACACAACGACTATTTGCAACTTATGCTGAACGCACAGAATAAGACATTAGACACGAGTGATGAACCGGACATCGATGGAGACAAAAGTGAACAAATCTATGGACCGGTCGATGGGCACAAGAATCCCATCGCAAGCAAAGTCAAGATGGATGTCACCGAAGTTGATGTGTTGGCCTCGAGTTTCATATTCTTTGCGGCCGGTTATGAGACAACCGGTTCTCTCCTAACGTTCCTCTTCTATAGGTTAGCATTGGATGAGAAATGTCAGCGAAGGCTATACGAGGAAGTGAGTCGTTTTGATGGCGACTATAGCTATGAAAATCTCGTAAAAATGACTTATTTGGAGGCATGTATTGCCGAGACTTTAAGGCTCTATAATCCACTCGTTTTTAATGAGAGAATAGCGGCTGAAGACTATAAATTGGGTTTGTTTTGCATAAAAATTTTAATAATATAAATTAAATAATATTTTTAAACATTAGGCGACACCGGGATTACTATTCCAAAGGGCACTTTTGTGGACATTGATGTTTGGTCCGTTCATCACAACCCCGAGTATTATCCAAACCCTGATCGTTGGGATCCGGAGAGGTTTATGCCGGAGAATAGGGACCAATTGGTTCCATACACTTATATGCCGTTCGGAATGGGACCCCGAAATTGTGTGGGAATGAGGTTCGCCTTAATGGAGGCCAAGACAGCGGCCGCCCATTTGGTCAACAAATTTGAATTCTCGAGAACAGCCGACACTCCGACTGAACTCAAACCACAAAAAATGCAATTTTTACTTAATTGTGGCGAAATTAAAGTGGGAATTAAGTCGAGAAAGTAAAAACAATTAATAAATTGATGATACTGACTAGCTTGTAAATAAATTAAAATTAGTTCTACAATAACTGTTCTGTATGTTTAGTACAGTATTCTTGATAATCCTTTAATAGCATTTTTAAACTAATATATTAAATGATTTATTATTACACAAATAAATGTATAATGTATAATAAATGTGTAACGTTGTAATTGTAAATAAATTAAATAATTATCTCAATACATTTATTGTATGATTTTTTATGACATAATCCAATGCAGAATATTATTACGGACTCCTTTTGTATTGATTTTTTAAACACGTGTGTATTGAATATTAAGGGAAAGGGATAATGAAAAGGGCGGATAGGAATCTGCGCAAAAATTTCATCATTTATTTTTGTGTATAACATGTCAACAGAATTGGGATTATTCTGGCCTTGAATATGAAAATTTTGTCTCAAATTCCTTGTATTTTCTCTGATGTGTCTATTTTCGTTACAAACACTCAAAACAAATCCTAAATTTTATTTTAAAATAAATGTCAAAAAATTCTCCATAATAACAAATTCTTATACAGTACTATTTTGAATAAGATGAATTCTTGAATATAATTCTGTTTAATAAAATACTATATGTATAAAAAGCAATGTTTTTCTTAAACATATATTGGTATCATTTAAGTGCTATATTTATTATATCGTTAATACCTCTCTATTTGTAAGTATATTACCGGCAAATTATTAATCATTTTTATATTCATTTAATTTTTAAAATTAAATTGATTTTTAAACAGTTATTTGACCAGGACTTTTAATTATTGGAAATCTAGAGGAATTGATGGACCAAGGCCAATTGTAGTTTTTGGGACGTTTTATCAGATATTATTAAAACCTAATCCATTAGTTGTATTGGATAATAAAAACGTTATGGAAAAATATATGGGTTTGTAGTAGAGCACCAGGGACACAACAACATTATTAATAATTAGAATATCCCTATATTTTTAGGGCGTTCATAGGAAGTCGTCCAGTGTTATGTTTAGCTGACCCTGAACATATTAAAGATATATTAATCAAAGATTTCCACGTATTTGTCGATCGCAACGATTTTCACAGCGGAGACCCATTTAACGACAGATCGCTGTTTAATCTGATGGGAGACCAGTGGAGGAAAATGCGATCAGTGGTCAGTCTATTTATAAACATTATTTCAAATAATATTTAAAATGTTTAATAATAAAACTAAATTAACATTTTGATGACCATTTCATAGATAAGTCCGACCTTCTCGAGTGGCAAAATGCGAGCAATGCATCCCATTATCATTGATTGCGTGAAGAGATTAGAGGAGTATTTGGAGAAAAAGGCCGCAAATAAAGAAGAGTTAGAAATGAAGAAAATAATGGGAAACCTGACGATGGATGTGATCGCTTCGTGCGCTTTCGGCACCAAAATAGACACACTTATATGCCGTTCGGAATGGGACCCCGAAATTGTGTGGGAATGAGGTTCGCCTTAATGGAGGCCAAGACAGCCGTCGCTTATTTGGTCACTAAATTCAGAATTAAGCGAACCATCAATACTACAGTTCCGCCCAAATTTAAAAAGTTTGAATTTCTGTTAACTACCGGTGATATCAACGTTGCATTCGAGCGAAGAAAATAACATAATATTCAAAATTAGTTGTAAAATGTAATCTTCTTTCACTTATTGTACTATTTTACTAATACTTCACTTATATTTGTAATTCTTTGTACGCAATTTTATAAACTTATTCATGAAAAGCATTAATAAATTCAATTAACACATAATTTAAAAATTGATTTTATTTCACTAAACATTAAAAGTGAAATTTTGGTAAAACTCCACTTTTTCAAAAAAAATATTGTACGATACAATCTCTTACTTTGACAATACAATCACTCTATTATTTTATTAAATATATTGTTTGTGGATAAGGATAACCTATTTGAAGGTTATGTTAATTACAACTCAAATGAATTTGTGTTGCTTTTATTGGTTTGTATTTTTCAATTTCAGGCAATGTTTATAACACTTGAGACGTTAAAAAGAGTGAAACGATTGCCTAATTGCTATCAATTGTATCACAACAACAGATAATTATAATCGCGACGATGAGTGAGATGTAACCCTAAAGTACTGAACGTATTTGAAAATGCTTTAAATCACACATATTTGTTGATATATTTACAAACTGTTACTCTATTTATCTAAATTTAAAAATTTTAAGGAAGATAAATTTACAGAAGTTACATTTAATACGGTCTATCGCATTTTCCATTTATTATGGAAATTACAGTAATGTGTTAAATAATTATACTTGTAGTTTTATCCAAGAGTGATGTTTATACAGTTATAATATTTAGTGCGATAAATAAATTTTGATAACAAAAAATACAATTGTTGTCTAGACCTTGAATTTTAATTTGTGATAAATTGCTTTTTAAGAGCTAGCAGTTTGTCATTCAATATGATTACAAACTATATATAAATGAAAAATTAATAATATTTGGTTTCAAACAAAGTCAGGCTTCTAAACTTTTAGGCAGTCAGTCTAAAATTGCCTTGTACGGTATTCTTAATGTTATATTAACTTTGAATAAATTAATCCAATTAATTTAAAAATGTTTTTCGACTTACAAACATTGGTATTAGTCAGTGCGTTTTTGGTGTTAATTTATTAGTGAGTAGTTTTGTAATTTAATAAAAATTTTATAATTTTATCAAACTAATTTCAATTTACATAAAACAACTAATGCTTATTTAAATTTAAATTTGTATTAATAGTTATTTAACCAAAAATTTCAACTTCTGGAGCTCTCGTGGAGTGAATGGCCCGAAACCTGTGGTGCTTTTTGGCACATTTTATCAAAACTTTTTCAAGTCTATGCAAGATGTTGCCCTGGACAATAGTCGCAAATATGGAAAGATATATGGGTTTGAAAACTTTAACTTATTTCAAAAATTAATTTATATTAATTTAAGAATTGTTATGAATGTTTAGAGGCTTTTTTGGTTCAAAACCATTTCTAATGATATCAGACCCACAACTCATTAAAGAGATGAATATCAGAGACTTCCATATATTCGCGGATAGGGATGATTTGGTGACCGGAGATCAACTAAACGACAGGTCATTATTTAATTTGAAAGGAGACGAGTGGAAGGGTATGCGATCCATTGTGAGTTCATTGTAAACTAAATATTTATATATTAATAACTAAACAAAATGTAATGTCAATAGATTAGTCCAACCTTTTCGAGTGGCAAAATGCGATCAATGCATCCCATTGTCATCGACTGTGTCAAGCGGTTGGAGACACATTTGGAGGCATACCTACAAAAAGGCAGTCATGAGATTGAGCTCAAGAAGAATATGTCAAACCTAACGATGGATGTGATAGCTCTGTGCGC